GGAATTCTGTTGGAAGTGATAAATGGAATTTCGGGAATTAGATGGAATTGGTTCCGTGAGCGGAACTGGTTCCGGAATGTTCAACATTGCGGAATAGGATGTATTCTCGGTCAAACGGCCGTGTACGACACAAGTTGATCGACCTGGCCACTGTTCATGTTCTATATATCAACGTATACTAATCATCGAACAATTTATTGTTACTATAAAAAAATCACATGGATGTTATAAACGTGGACAATCTGATCATAGTATCAGTGATTGTGCGCAGGTTTTCTACTTGCTGGAATGCATGATGGTGGTTATTGCAGTAATAAAGAAGAAGATCCATCAACACCATCAACTTCTATTCATATGAATATTCCAATAAATAATAAGCAACATCAAGTCATCGTCGATACTCGATCTGGAGTCATAATTTTTCATTGACAATTTTAAAAAAAGATTTGTCATGAGGAATTCATTTACAAAAAGAAATTACACAAATGAGTAAATTGTTCATCGATTGATATTATTGTCGAAATTCAAATTTAGATTAAAATACAAGGATATTAAAAAACCATTGTAGCAGATATTGCAACGAATATCATTTCTGATCAATTTCTCGGAACTGGCAGGATTATGCATAACACATTCTTCTTGATAAGAATCATCGGAAATTATCAACAGTTCCATTCTTTATCCCTTCAAATATTCAATTACTCTTTTTATTGACTGATGGAATGAGTCTTCTATTACATTCCTAAAAGTGTATTAGCGTAAAAGTATTATCATTCATAAATAACACATCAGAAGTCTTATTTGAGCCAACCGAAAAATGAAATTCAAAAACTACTTCACTAACCAACGCATTAATTAAAATCAAAATAATGAAAGTCAGGTCATAATTATAAATTCAAATGATCGGAAAAAAGATATTATCAAAGAATACTAAATTGGAATACATTTCATATCAATCTGAACAAAATAATTACCGTATGTTACCAGTGCAGGCACGAAAAAGAAATGATTAGCCTATAAAAACAAAATCAATACTTTATAGTAGGAACAACACCTTCATGTGTGATTCCTAGATTTCATCAGCACGAAAAAAAAGAGGGAAGTTAACTTTAGGGACTTAACCTGCCACATGGAATACAAGAGTGAAGAACATCTTTTGTCACGAAATGTTTACAACAAAACTTACGTCAAAACTTTTATCCATCAAGATTGTGGGAACAGGTTTGACGAATTAACTCAACATATGGATCACAACAATTATAACAAATATTGTAGAATCACAGCAAATTATTTGATCTCTGTCAGCCGTCTATTATTAAAGCTACAACCCATCAGGCTACTGACACAGGCGCACTAACTTGTTAGTTTTTTTATTTCATTCTATCAGTTTTCATGCAAAGATAAACAAAGACAGAGAAAAAATTGAAGAATCTACGTCACCATGATCATTTTCAAAAGTACTGGCTCGCACCAAAAGATAGCTCGGTTAGATTTTGTATCAATTTTAGAAAATTAAATAACATTACTACAGAAGACGCATTTTCTATGCCTCGATTACATTGTATTTTTGATCATGTATCACAAACTGAATATTATACCGCCATAAATTTAAAATCTTGTTTTTTTCCAAATCAAATGAGAATACCAATTCTTCTTCAATATAAATGTCTCCGAAAATTGTGAGGGGCACATAGGATAAGGGCTTAGACATGATATTCATACTTATTTTTTTGACTGACCTATATTTCTGAAGCAGTAATAGTTAGCTTCAGTAATAATGGACATGATGTTTTGTTATCAAGCACCGTCATATATGTTAGATTGAAAGTTTTAGAAAAGCCAAAGCTTCGTACTAATTCACCGATAAGGACAGAGAGTATTGTATTAAGAAACTTAGAACATTAGAGTATTATATACGACTGACAGATGTACATAAGTATAAAATGGTCTTACCTTCTAAAATATATAAAGTACGGCACGCTTAATTTTGTTTTTGATTGCGTTGCACGTCTTCGTTTTTAGAAACATCATGGAACCATTGTTGCAAAATTAAAGCATGTTGTATAATTGTTGATTGACGAAAAAAACAGGCAATATTGAACGATGAACATTGAGAATCGCATTAAAAAGACTTTTGACATTCTGAATAGAGATGTATCATAGCCAAGGAGTTGCTACCCATCGAGAAAAAGGAACTATTGATAGGAATCGTTTTCTTATCATCAATTTTTAGCACGTGACACCAGATATCGTGTACACGATTCTGTTCGATTGTCATGGGTGGCTCACCTTCTCGACATTCATCACCGCGATCAAAACATTCAGGCAGTGACGACAAAGCAGGTTTAGGAAGTGGTGCCCGGTCTAACTTTCCATTAGAATTTATTGGTAATTGATGCACAACAATGACATGAGATGGAATCATCCATTGTGATAAGTTCTTTTCACAGAAAGCACGAACTTGTTTTGCATCGAACAATACTGCTGTATCGGTCGTACTTGGTTGTATGCAGGCAACCAGATGATCACGTCCATTTTCAGTCATCTTAATTACAGCACAGTTGCAGATAGCAGCACTGGACCGGTACATGACTGCTTCGATTTCTTCCAATTCTACTCGTTGTCCATTAAATTTTGTTTGAGAATCTTCGCGAACCAACAATTGAACTTCACCGCTCAATGGTAAGAATCGAGCTAAATCTCCTGTTTTATAACTTTTGCCAGATTCACCTGTTAGTTGAATCAATGCCTTGGCATTGTGATCGGATCGATTTAGATAACCACTCATAATTGCTCCACTAATATAAAGCTCACCTGCATATACCACCGGTACAGATTGATGAAATTTGTCAAGAATGTGCAACTTAAAGTACGACATTGACCTGCCAAGTGGAACACTACCTGATAATGAATGAGCATCATTTTCTGTGCCTGTGTGAAAAGTTTGGGCTACGTTCCCTTCTGTAGGACCACCTAAATTGACATATTTACAGCTAGCTGGTAATAAAGGTAAAATTCGAGCGATCAAATATGATGGTATTGGTTCACCTAGCGAGATGAGCACAAAAAATTAATGCTATCTCAAGGAAAATTGCTCATACTGCTTACCTACGGACCACAATAGTCGAAGAGTATTGAGTCTATGAAAAGCTTGTTGTACTTCGAGGATATCAAAAAGCAAAATTTGCAATGTGGAAACAATGCAAAAGCAGGTAACCTGATGAGATTCGATAACACGAGCCAAATAATCCATATTACGATTGTCTTGTTCAGGTCTTAAGAGCACAATTAATCCACCCACAAATAAAGTGCCAAGTATTTCATGAATATGTACATCCCATGTACATGATGATAATTGTACTCCCTTATCACTTGTGCGCAGAGAATCAACCTCAACGAACGATCGAAGATAATAGATCAAACTAGAATGCGAAATAACAGCAGCTTTAGGTGTACCAGTTGTTCCACTTGTGAAAATAATATAAACAATTTTGTTTGGTGTGACCAGAATATGTTTGAGATCATCATCATTGTTTTCATCTTCGTCGGAGATAAGAAATGAGTCTGTTTTAATGAGATCACACGATGTATCAGCTTCGACCAATATTTGTCAAGTGTAACTATGAACAAGAATTGTCTTTGCTTATGTGTCTTGAACTAGAGTTGCCAGTCTTATAGGTGGATCCGAAGGCGACAAAGGGCAATAAACTGCACCACTTGACAAAATTGCCAATTGTCCGATAACCATTTCGATTGATCTTTCAACACATTGGCATACGATTTCTTCGTGTTGGACATTTTGAGTTAAATGGATTGTGAAGCGTCGTACATAATGAAGGAGTTCACTATAAGTAAATGATTGTTGATCCTATTCGAGAATTATTTTTTGTGGATATAATTGAGCTTGTTGAATGAATCTTTCATGTATAGCGAATGACCATGGATAAGATACAAGTGACTTTGTATTGTTTAGCTGATGCATCACTTCTTGTTCACTTGGAAGAATAATTGATAATTTATAGATTGGCTCATGAGTCATCAGAGAACTGAAATGTTCTGAAAGTATATGTCTAAATCGATTCGCAAGCACATCAACATTACTCTGAGTTTTAAATACATCAGCTGAACAATCAAAAAAAAACATTCTGTCGTTCTTGCATGATGGTCATGCGTTATTGTGAGATTCACATCGAATGATGCTACACCGTTACCATGAGATCTGTCGCGATCAAAATAGACACTAAGAACGCAGTCTCCTGTCTCATTTAATTCTACGCTATTTTTCTGTGTCAGCGATGATACCAATGATTCATACTGGAATAAGGTTGAAGGCAATCCAGATTTTTCTTGCTCGCGATGTAAATTCATAATCTCTTGATAAGGCAGAGAGGCATGCTCAAAAAATATCACTGCAGTTTTCTATACTCTTTGTAGTAGACGATGAAATGAATCATTTGGTTCAATTTTTGATTCTATATGGCAAAAGATTGACAAACATACCAATCATATCTTTCATTTCCTGCTCTGTGCGATTAGCAATAACGCTTGCCACACACAAATCATCTTCACTGTTGGTCAATTTAAATAGAAATGCGTAATAACAGGTTAATGCCAATGAAATCATAGTGACATTGTTGGACGCAGTAAATAGCATCGACAATGTTTTGATCGAAAGAGGATGAAGCTGAATAAGCAATACCAAAATAACTTTGACCAGTGCTGACATCATTAGATACCAAGCTTCATGCTCGACTTCAATCATAGCCATTCATAAGGTTCCCATGTAAAAAAATTTAGGGTAGAAATCAGATTAAAATCGATTGAAAAATGATTGAAAATCGATTATAATCATACACCTTTAATCGATTTTTAATCGATTCGGAATCGATTATAATCAAAAATAATCCAAAAAACAAAATTTTCATCGATTATTCCTATTATTTTCGATTATAATCGATTAAAAATTCATGAAGAAAATTGATTATAATCGATTTTCGTACATGAAAAATGGCAAAATTTGTTAGGAATTTTCTTCGCTTTGCATCGATTATAATCGGTTTTTTTCATGAATTTTTAATCGATTATAATCGAAAATAATAGGAGTAATCGATGAAAATTTTGTTTTTTGGATTATTTTTGATTATAATCGATTCCGAATCGATTAAAAATCGATTAAAGGTGTATGATTATAATCGATTTCCAATCATTTTTCAATCGATTTTAATCTGATTTCTACCCTAAATTTTTTTACACGGGTATCCATCGTTATTTTTCAAGAACAAAACCATGATGAAATATTTTTGACAAGAACACTGGTTTTATTCCTCTGAATGTTTTTTGAATTATTTTCAACATTCGATTAATACTGTTGTTACTTACACAGGGATGGTTATGTCTTTTTTCTTGCATCGTTGCATTTGATATGATACATTGTACTTATTAAATGTGGTATGTGAAATGAGAGGTACTACTTGCGATGAATATAATCATTGAAGCAATAGAAAAAGCCATTGAAGCATGAGTACAATGATAAAAAAGGAGAAAAATTATCCTTCTCTACTTTGTTTGTTCATTCAACACCATGGAGCGTTTATGAATGTAACGGATGAGTGAGAATAAATTTGGCTTATCGGTATTTTTTATAATGCTTCTCTATTATTCACAAGAAAAAAAAGAATATAAGACTGCTACAAAAATCATTATAAAATAATAATTTCTTTTGGGCGTGAATTAGTGTCCTGCGCAGGAGTCGGAATCGGACTTTAAAGAAAAAATTTCGGAGTCGGACTTGGCATCGGAATCGTGAAAAAATATTTTCCGGAGTCGCAGTTGGAATCGGCTTGGAAAAAAAGATTTTTTTTTGGAATCGGGTCGGGTTTAGGAATCAAAAAGTACGATTCCGCTGATCTCTAGTTTTGAATAATTCTGAGAAAAAAAGTTTTTTTTTGAAAAAATCCCTGTACCCCTCCCTCAGGGATGGTCTGATCAATAATGACAACTTTTTCGATAACTCGGCCATTTCTTGGCGGATCCTTCTCATCTTCGAACTCGACTGAGATATTAATGAGATCATTATGTGTACAAAATTTCATGACAATCGGATCAGCCTTTCAGGAGCTATCGTATAAACGGCCGGACACACTGACCGATTCTATAGTATACTCACTTTTTTTTGAGTACACAAAAACAATCAATATGGAAGTATTAACATATTTTTGGAAAAAAAATTACTTATCGACGGTTATTCATACGTAATAATGTTATTAAAGAAGTTTTGTTGAAGTATCCAGCTTATTCATTGGCATCATTGATGAGTTGTATGGAATTTTTTTTATGATCAGCAATAATTCATCTTTTATCTTTTCAGGTTCTCGAACAAGTACGAATGATAACTGATGCAGACATTCAACGTAATGTAGAATTATTTTTGACGATGTTGCTTGAAAAATGACCGAATAATTCTATGTTTATATCACGTAAAACAATATTTCACTAGTTAAAATGATGTTTGTTAGGTAGTGGCACTATCTGCGACCACTACCTCTTCTGCTTTCTGTTATCTCTCTATTGGTCAAGAGACCTAAGAGAAGTTAGAGTTGTTGAAGTGATTCTAGTTGAGTTTGGTTTGAAGAAATAAAGAGTTAGGTAAACGTAACTATCTAACAATGTTTGCAGTTGAATTTCTGGTATTATTTTCTAGGTGTTTTCAGATAATAAAACTGCGATATCAGCATTTAAAAGATCATGTAACATATGTTTTAACTGAAAAAGTAATCTCACATTAGTTTATATTTTAAATTATATAAAAAATATAATACAAAGACTCTACTAATCTTTCATATTTTCAAAACTTTCAAAATTTAACGTATTTATTTTTTTTCCTTCTTTTAAGATCCAATAATATCTGCTCCTCGTATTAAAATGTTAAACGATAAATATGAGCGATATATTGACTATCAGTTCATTAAAGAAACAACGTCTGATGAAGCGGTAATATCAATGCTGCTTTGTTTATATAATATGTTTGCAATAAAATTCACACATCATTCTTATGGTATTAATTTGTTGTGTGGTATAATGTTTCAAGGTCAAAATGAACTTAGTAAATCATTGAGGAAGCTCCTTTTATCATAGACTATATAATTACAAATAAATCAATTTTTCATCAACATCAAACTAGAAACAAACGGTTAATAATATCGGTATGATTCAAAGTACAACATCAATTGAAACTAATAAAAATGATTTAAATGCCTTAGAAGAAAGACACTTTATTCAAAATCAACAAGTAAATTTGCCAAGAACCCACAATCAATCATTCATTTAATTATACACTAGAATTGGGTAAGTCTTAAAAATATCACAAAATGATCATCCCTCAGAAAAGATACTTTATCAATCAAACAGGAACGATTTTGCACTGTTAATTCAAAAATATTTGATCTATCATTTTGAAAACTCGTCTTTCACGATAACCTTATACTTAGTACGGTATTTCATTTTAGTTACCACACTGGAAAAAAGGTACCACACGAAACCCCACAGGTATCCGATTTTTGCAACCAAATCGAAATCCTTTGAGGTTTCGTAAAAAGCCTTATTTTTAATAGCTGAAAACAGGGGTTTCGTACTTCAGGTTCTGTATAATTCACCACGCAATATTGAACGAAAGATCCGCCGGATGTTTTGCTTCATTATGGAAGTAGTTTTCCACCACTATCCACTGCAAAACACACCCACTCTCTAAAAGCGAACCGAGTTCTGTAGAAACCAGCAAGAAAGATGCCTCAAAGTCGCCGAATCCTGTTGGAGAACACACAATATCGCTGGAACATGGAAGCAGTATTCCGACAACAAACTTTCCCAATTTTTCTGAATGTTTTCCGGCGCATCTTGTCAAAAGGCGTTGCAAGTTGGTCGTAACTCACTAGAAAAATCAAGAAAGTTTGCTGTCAGAACACTGCTTCCATGTTCCAGCGATATTCTGTGTTCTCCTACAGACAACGGCGACTTTTAGACATATTTTCTGCCAGTTCCTACAGATTCCAGTGCGTGGAGCGATCGGTATGTGATGTTTCACCTAAAAAGAAATAAAAGAATTCATTAGCATTTAACTTTCAAAATCGAATTCACCATTAAATATTAGTCGATCTGAGAATTGATCTAAATAAAAATAAAATAATTCATGAGCATTAAACTTTAAAAATCGAACTCACCATTAGTATTTGTTGATCGAAGACCCGATCTAAATAAAAATATAATAATTAATCAGCACTTCACTTTCAAAATCGGACTTACCATTAATAATTGTTGATGTGACAATTGATTTAAACAGAAATAAAAGAACTAAGGATTGTCGCTTCGAGTCACCCGACTCCGAGCCGAATAAGGCAAAAGTATTTTTTGTCGATACTGATATCGATAGTCCGATCGATTAATTTGAGCCCTGGATGGCTATTCAAATCTTTTCCGAATTGTATATCTAAGAAACACTTTTTGATTGTAAAATAATTTTAACTAAACCCATTTTTGACCTGTGAGATACAAACACAGCAAAGCATCCATATCTATATCGACCTTCATCATTAAACTCTACTGCCTCAACGAATACTAGGGTATTTTGATATGTTAATACATGCTCACAAAATCTCTAGGACAATCTTTAGAATAACATTTTAGTGTAAGGAGAACATCTTGTTATTCCCGGTGCCAATTTCGAATCAATGGGAGGTCGACGCAAAAAACTAACTACATATTCGGGTTCCTGGGCCTCGATAGCCTATAACAAACTTTCATCAAAAGTTAGATCAGAGTTGAAATGAGCAGTCTTAGTTTTGCAGCAATTCAGTTTTTGATCGGTCCCATTTGTGATCGAAAGCGTTCTTCTGAGATATTTTTCAACTCGGATAAAGGTCCGTTTTGTGAAATATTCAAGATTTTTTAAACTGTGAAAACCTTTCACAAGTTCGAAAACACTCTGAAAGCGATATTCTACATGCGTGTGATTCGAGTTCTTTGAAAATTCTGAAGGTAGAAAAAAGAAATAATTATTGTGAATGGTAATTTAGCGATGGACGAATTTTACGTGAGGCATATTCCGAAACTCTTTGGAATACGAAATCCAAAAGGGTTTTTGACGAAACCCCTGGGGTAGCAGAAAACTCCAAGGGTTCAGGACGAAACCCTTTTACTCTTTAAAACTCTTCAAAGTCTTTTACGAAACCTAGGATATCGCTAAACCTCATGGTGGTTTCGTATTATTCTACGGATACTTATATAGTACAGTAAAACTCTACGAAACCTCAAAGGTTTCGTGTGGCACCTTTTTTTTCAGTGCAAGGAAATATATGCACAGCATCAAACACCGGAAGATGAATTTATGTCATTGGAAAAAATCCACGGCTCCTCATAGCGATCTAAATATTTTTCAAACAATTGATAAAGGTTCGCTCGATACTGAAGCAACGACTGTATCACCACAACATTCAAAAACACATCAACAGACAGCAACCAATAAAGAAGCAACAGCATTATCAGGTTGTCGACTACCCAAGGGATCTCGTTTATCAGGCTTATTCATTCGTTTTCTAACGGAAACTCTTTTTTTCTTCGTACTGAGTTCTTCTTACGTTTTCTGACACAGTAAAAAAGGAAAAACATAACTAGTGCGATTTTTACTGTTTGTTATTGCTGTCGTTATGCTCAATATCAGTGTAATTACCGAAGAAATTCTTGTCTAATCAAGTCTTTTTTTTGTTAAATCCTCATTCATAATGCAATCACTTACAAAATATAAACAGACTAAAATGAAATGTTTCATCTTCTATATTTGGGTTCAACTTGATTGTTGAATACCAATGCTGAGTTAAATATCCTGGAAAAAATATGTTTTCCCACTTATTTACGTTCATATTCTAGCTGTATTAGCCTCTAGTGATAGAGTAGAAAACTAAAATTATTTTATATTCATTATACCGATTGTATATTAATAGCAGCCTAGGTATTCAAATAAAAAATATCGAAAATTTCCATTCTGCTTTATTTAGGTGTATATGCAGGTAATATCAATCGCAACTTACATATATTGAAATGACATCAGGAAATTTTTCTTTTTTTTATTAAGGTTGATATTAAGATTACCCCCCCCCCGGATTAAGAGGGCCTCCTCGATTAGAAGATCACCCTAAAAGATTTGAATGATCGTCTTAATATAAGACCCGGGCTTTATAATGCTTCCACGTTCGCGATTACTTGATATGTCCATTACTCTTCGCAGAAAATAATTTTTTTTCTGTATACATTTATGTTCTCTCTCTCTCTCGCACCATCTTTTCTCTCTGTTCAGAAAAAGTGGGAGAAGATACATTCTTTCCATTCATGGGTCATTATTAAGATTATTGGTCGATGAGGCGAGCATCTATCGTCGTCAGATAGACATTTTATTCTTCATTTTATATTTATATTGTTCTAAATGGACTGATTAGNCTTTTCTCTCTGTTCAGAAAGAGTGGGAGAAGATACATTCTTTCCATTCATGAGTCATTATGAAGAGTATTGGTCGACGAGGCGAGCACCAATCGTCGTCAGATAGACATTTTATTCTTTATTGTTATGTTTACATTGTTCTAAATCGACTGATTACTTATGGACAATGACGATGAGAATATGCTGTGTCTTTCTGTACCCGAAAAAGTGGATACAAATGATGATTTCCCGTCATCCGATGATAGTGACATAGAGGTGACATCCACTATCAATGAAGAAGAAAATGAACTTGTTCAAATTGGCAATAACCTGTGTTTCAACTCGGATGATAGCACTGATGATGACATGAATATACAAGACAATTCAACAGTACAATCTTATCCAGCAGCGCGAACATCAGAAGATGATGAAAGCTATGATAGTGATCATATCGTCGACAATTCATCTTCCAGGTTATGCTCTCTACAATCTGAAGCTAATGATACACCATGGAGAAAACGAAAGCGTCGTGGCTGGTCGGTGAAAGACAAACTACGTGCAATTGAAAAGTGTTGTTATTGCAATAATTCCCAAAGGCTGCACACAATATTTACAGCTTCTTGATACGCTCGTCTTCTCCAATTTAAAATCCACTATTTCAACGCAGCCGAAGAATTTATAGAAAAAAATGGACCCAGGAACAAACTGAAACTCAATGCTGCTCAATCGAGAATCATATATACTCGTCTTACATGGGAAGCCTGGAGGCGTACGTTAAATTCAATTGATCTCGAAAAAGGCTTTACAGAAATCGAATATACTTGGACAGATTGTTCTATTGTAGCACCTCGAACGTTACCTGGCTATATTTATGATCCTAATAAAGAATCTAAAATACAACCTAATGATCATGATGATGATATTCAAAATCATACTGCAAACGAAGCGAACCTGGCCAATCAACAACACACACAAGTGATGTTAAAAAATGGTGGTAAACAATTGAAGTTAGATGAATTATGGGAAAAAAATAATTATTATATTTATGTAACTTATGTAAATTTATGTTTTAATTTTCATCTCTTGTCAATTCGAAATTGTGAATTGAACAAAAAAGATTAAAAATAAATATTTATCTGAAGATTTCTAAAACTTTCTACCAACATAAACTCTATGTTTCAAATAGAAGGGCCCCCCCCCCCCAAAAAAGACACCCCCCATGGAANTCTCTAGTTTTGTCTTGACACTCTGGATAACTTGAAGTAGCCTAATAAACATCTTTGCCGAGAGTGGCACAAGATACTCTAATCAAGTTGTTCGTTACATATATCTTCATAAATTATATTTATTCAACATATTTCTATAGTAGATCGACAGACTATTCTCATTCTAAGATGATGACAGTCTGAAAACAACAATACTATGTAATAGTGAATACCATATTTTGTAAACCCAATTTGAGTCGAATCGAATCGAATCGAATTCATTTTTTTTCGTGTTTTTAGCCGAATCGAATCGAATTACAATTTTAAAAAGATCAGAAAACCCGAATCGAATTGAATCACAGTCCTAAAAAGCCGAATCGAATCGAATGGCACTTTTGTCATCGGTTTCGGTCTCTGTTATGCACTAAAAGTAGA